TCCCGTATAAAACAGCGATTTGGTTAAAAATGGAAGACCCAATCACAGTTAAAACCCGCGTACCACTTTACGCGACAATTTTTCGTAAAATTTATTTTAAAAAAACGCTATCTTGTAAGATTCTTGTTTCATACTCTACAATCTCTGATTCTTTCGTAGATTCTCTGTCGCATTTTTGAAATTTCTATTTTGTCTGAGCGATCGTTTCTTTTTCTTATTCCTTTTCCAAATCACGTACTCGATGTCTTACGCCGCCATGATGTAAATTCCTGACTCTTGAATAAAATGTTCGAGAAGAAATATCGATGTAGACTTCGAGTTATTCGTCGTTTTATCCTCTATCGAAATGTAACTTATTTTTTCCTTTTTTCTATATTGTTTTCCTTTCATCGTTTAGTTATCCTAGAAAGTTGCCAACGCTCTCCGCTGCCTCGTCCATGGCGCTGACTTCACCTTGATCGTGCTCCTCGAAGTTCACCGCTTCTTCTTCCTCGTTCTCGGAAATGGCGGCGTTCATTTCGGCAGCGCCTTCGCCGCCTTGATTTGTCTTCTCTTGGTTTTCGGACGAAGCTTGCCCTAGAGTACGGATCTTTATGCAAATTCAAACGTTTGAAAACGGAACTATGATAGAAAATGGCTTTTCCTAATAAATATTGTAAACAACCCTATATTTTAGACATTCTGTATGTTTTGTCGTGTCACGTGCAATTACACTTCCGAATTTCCTCTGAATGTACAAAAATTCGCGATTATTTATTTATTCCCATATTTTCTTAGTTAATAAACAGAAAAATGCAACAAGACGAAATTTAAATTTTGTCGAAACCGTGTCTCGCCTAGTACAATCTTTGTTTCACGAATAAATAATTCTAAACATATTTCTTCTTATGAACAAAATAGAACACAAATTACAGTTTGTATTAACGGTAAATAAGTTTAATGTTATTGCATATTTAGACGCATTGTGATTTATGAAAAAATTAGAATTGATGTTTGGCATGAAGATCCATATAGAGGGTGTTCCGTATTAATCTATTCAAAGATACAATTCAATAATCCATTAAAATGCTGTTTCTTTTGTTTCTATGGATTCTCATAGATGGGTTATCATTTGCTTGTAAAAAATAACTTGATTACGTGATTATGCTTGAAACAATAGCAGTTAATATTTCCTACAGTGCGTTATTGACATAATCCCAGCCGATCTATGGCTCAAAAGTGAAGAGGAGCGAAGGGATTCGGCCGCACGCTCCACCTCAGCTCGCGGCTCGGCCAGTAACAAAAACGTGCCGAAACTAATTCCGCCATTACTATCGGGCCAAGCGCCACGAGTGGACGTCTCCCCTTGCCCCTCTTCACTTTTAACCCTTTGCACTCGAGCGGTGACTCTCAGTCACCATACGACTTGATATACCAAAATCATAAAGTCTTACATATAATATGAACACGTTGAACACCGTGGGAATCACCCGTGACCCGTAACCAGATCGAATGACTACAGTTCAGTCAATTACACGACGATTATTTGTAAACGTTTCTATATCATAAATACTACTATCTAATGCGGTGACATTCAGCTTGACAAATACGCAATAATAATGATGCAATTCAGTCAAATGATTCAATATTATATTTCTTCCATTTCGTGTATTTTGCTGTATGTAATCGTGCGGCGATCAACGTATTAAGCTTCTTGTAATCCATGAAGATGAGAAATATTGAAATAATAACTTTGTTTCTTAACTTATGTGTATTCTCTCATTTAATTCGTTTTAAATGATGTCGTCTATAACTCATTGGGAACTGTTGAATATTTCTAGTGTAAGACTTCAGAGTGCAAAGGGTTAAGTCAAACTATATGTACCAAATTACCAAATTATTACTCCCCCAAAACAGGAAAAATTGCATTTGAGGCATTCTTTAATCACTTGCGCTGGCAACGAATTGAGAGACTCGACAGGATCTCGCGCGAAGGATTGTATCTTCGTATATTATATACAGATATGTACACAAATGTCGTTTACCAATAATTTTGTACGAAATGGTAGAGTTCAGTACAATCTGGAATACGTAATCCAATAAGATTATCGACTTGTACAATATGTCGTTGGTAATTTTCGGACAAAAACATCACGACGCGCGTAACACGTCTTTCCGGCGCGAGTGGTTAAATAGCGAATAGTTCCAGCGATAATTGCATTTATAGGTTAAAACTGAACACCCTGTATAGTGTATTTCGGTGATACGGTACAAACCTTGGCCAAGGTTACGAGCTTTGCTCTGATACGAGTAGTCACGCGCATTGGCAAGGCCAGCGATGACGCACGCGCTCAGGGCACTTCGATTAAGATTCATCGGCGATGCATCGTACCACTCGTTGCTATCCGCGTCGTAACACTCTGCATACGCAATTGTCGTTGAACCTAAGAAATTCAATTGACAAAATATAACATTCATAAGTGGCTTTCGGGTGAAAGCGGTGTCCAGCAGGAATTTCTTCCCAATCTTTCGCCATCGTTGCAGCTGGCTTCATCGGACATTAACCCTTAGCACTCCAGGTTGTTTTGTAATCTATCAGCAACTGCAACTAATTTTTATAGTATTCCTAGCGAAAATTAGAGATGCTATAACATTTCTTTGATGTCTTATTTTCCTTCTTAGTACAAAATTTGGATGTGTGGAAAATCTAATAATTTTAGGGTAGTTTCTTTAAGATTCATTAAAATGTCTAATATTATAACTGCTGCAATATTGGAGCCTACAGAGTTCAAAGGGTTAAAAATTGTTCAGTTGTCCAATTCAGCTGATCTATATAAAGAGAGTCTTTAACCCCTGATGAAGATAGCTGAATAATGGCGAAACGTTGGGAACAAATTCTTGCTGGACACGGCTCTCACCCGAAAGCCACTTATAAATATAATATTCCAGGCCGTGAAAGCATTAACCCTAATCGGACTCCGATGTGACTTCGAGTCACATTTGAACTTTTTACTTAAATATTTTGATTATTTCATATTGCATTTCCAAAAGTTTTTCTGTGATTTTAAAATTTGGGCCCTATAAACAAAAGCAATAACATTTTAATCATTCCTTTCATTTTCATAAGTGACTGAGAGTCACATCGTGGTATGATTCGTTATAAAAACACGTGGTACGATTAGGGTTAAAGTGGCAGAGTATAGCTTAAGTTTCGGCAATTCACAAGCTACGAGTATCAATCACTCTGATAAATATTAGCTGACTAAACCATGGCCTTTCATGTGTTTAAGTATGTATACGTAATGTTTTAGGTGTATATAATATTAAACAATTAACATGAATATTTTAAATATATAGAATTTTTATCTAACATAAATATTTAGTTAGATATGATTATTTTATATGATTAGGTTTTTATGAATTAATTTATCGAGAAAAACTGTTTGGACTCTCAGAGTTTTCGTCGGATTAAACATTTTTCTGTAACAATTTTAAACAAATTTTGAAGGAAGAATAAATGCATCAAATCCGTGGATAATTCGTTAGAGTGGTAAGTTCATAGTTAATTTCTGTTTTAATTAATTCTAGAGAAATTGTGAATTTGCGAATATAATATGCGAAAATGATCGAATTACCATTGAAACCACCGACAACAAAAATCATGTCGTCCAAGATGACCGTGGCGAAATTGCTGCGAGGGCTGGACATTGCTGGGACCGCGTGCCAGTCCTCCGAATGGTTCGGATTGTAACGTTCCCCTGCAGGAACGGAAGATCGATATTGTAACGAGACATTAACTTCCACGCAGCGGAAAATCCCTACTAGATAGAGTGCTTTCATGCTCGGTACAGTGGTTTCAAAGCAAGAAATTTTCAATAAAATCGAATGCATCAACGAACAAACAACGCCGGCGTAAACAGAATCCTTTTACGCGTTACAGAATCCCTCTGTTCAAGTTCTAGTATACTTCAGTCGAGTAAAAAATCTTCGGAATAATTAATATGCCACAAAAGTGTAACAATGATATCCGCAAAATTTAGGAAAAATGAACATTTAATACGTAATATTCTGAAGTCATAAATAATTAACAGAATTTAATGAGGGGAATAATTTAAACCTCAGATAATAAATAAAAAGCACATGTTGAAATAAAATATTAAACTAATTCTACAATGAAACTATTTAAGGCGAAGCTAAAAGAATTCAATGATCTCCATTTCCTCTAAACTTGTCCACAAAAATGTCAACTTAAATCATTAACACTACAGATACCAGACGGGTCGAAATAACCAATTCCTGATTTCTTCTTTCTACAGTTATTAAAAAGATACCAGATATTTCTCTGAGAAGCTATTCAAGAAATTGATTTAGCAATACGCAAACTGAGTTATACGTCAATTAACACATTGAATACCGTACGATTTCATACAACAAAACACACAAAACAGAAAAATGTAATATTAAATCATTTAATTGAATTGTATTACTATTGCATATTCATCGAGCTGAATGTCACCGCATTAAATATCATTATTTGTACTATAGAAATGTTTCTAGATAATTATCGTTTAATCGAATGAACCATAGTAATTCGATTTGGTTGGGGGTCACCGGTGACCCCATGGCATTCAACGTGTTAAAGTCTCGATGCGCTCTCGAAGTATCTATAGAAGAATATCAAAAAGTTAATTTAACTGCTTAGCAGGTTTAGTGTCAAGCTAGGAGTTCATTGATACATTTAACTGATCATTAGGATTGCGTCCCGTTCAATTCGGATTTCAAGTAAAATCAATTCACCGGAACTGAGCCTGGTTAATCCATCGAAGCCTCCGAGAGCGTAGAGGCTGTCCCGGAATGCGACCAAGGAAACCCCGGACCGTGGATTGGTCATCGAATGAATGTAACTCCACTGATTGGTCTCCACGTCAAAGACCTCGGCGGAATTCAGAACTTCTCGCCCGTTGAAACCGCCGACGATGTAAATCTTGTCCTGCAACGCGGCCGCACTCGCGTCTGACCTTTGCCGGTGCATCGGCGGTATCAGTTCCCATTGGTTCCTCTGAGGCTCGTATCTTTCTCCCGAGCTCATCCTGGTACGACCGTTGTAGCCGCCGAGAGCGTAGATCTTCCCACCTAATTACGTCATTCGTGTGAAATAATCAATATTTATCATATACCTTTTTATTACACTTCGATACGCAATTGACTGATATTAGAAATATTTGTGCGATACAGAAATGATTGTACAATTAAATTGTTAGAATCGACTCCTTTAGAAGAGATCTTAACCCCTTGCACTCGGAAGTTTCTCACCAGAAATGTTTAATATTTTTTGACGAGGCGAAGACGATATTTTAAATAGACAATCAGTTCTAATCAAACAAGATACTTTTTCAATGCCAAAAACTCAAATATCATACTGTTGTGTAACATATTTTAAATAGATAATCAATTCTAATCAAATGTAATACTCTTTGCAATGCCAGAAATTCAAATACCATATCGCTATAACATATTTTAAACATATAATCAGTCCCAATCAAATGTAATACTTTCTTCAATATCGTGGTAATTAGCAAAATTACACAATCTTTAAAAACGAGATTTCCCGTCACCTGTATACAATATATTAATTCCTCATATTCTGTTCAAACTAAAAACCCACAGTCTCCGCGTTCTATCCGACATGAAATTGCTTTACAGTTAGGTCACGCGCATCCGCGAGCCAATTGTTCGAGGCAAGAAAAGGGAATCGTTTCGGCGTCAAGAGAACGGCTCAATTAGCCGATCCCTTTCTATAAACGACCCTCCGTCTCCCTGGATCCATTTCCCCTTCGCCCTGGCCAAGGTGGTGCCAGGAGTGTGTGCTCACCGTGTGTGCAAACGCTGACGTAACACCTCGCGTGATACATGCAGGCCCGTTCCCGCCATTCTTTGGTCACCGGGTCGAAGCACCGTACCGTGTTGAAGTATTGATTCCCGTCGAAGCCGCCGATCATGTAGATCAGATTGTTCAGGGTGCACAATCCGTGGTACGCCCTCGGTGTCGCGTCCGTGCTCACTGATAGAAACCATCTGTCAGCTCTGGAGTTCACATTATACGACCCGGTGAATCTCGGCTCGCTTCAGGACGCTCGGTGAGTCTCGCGGGACCGTTACCCGCGACACTTTTATATTTTTAACCAGTTAACTGTGGAATTTCGTTTGGAAAACCTCCGATTTCGCGCGCGATCGAACCAGATAATGAAGTGTACACTTGTCGAGCACGGAGCAAATGAATGTATAATATATTCTAACTGGAGAATACGGAACGAAGAAGAATTATACGCTTATCTAGAGAAATAAACAATTTATGGCTGACAGAATTAGTACTATTTTGCGTTTTAAGATGATAAGATGTATGGACCTGTAACTTGGTAACTATGGAATTTAATTTAGAAAATCTCTCGTCTTACGCGCGATAGCATAAAAAAATAAAGTCTGTACTTGCGAAATGCAGGACGAATACACCTAGAGTATATGTCAATGAAAAACCAAAGCGAAATAAAGGAGAATTACGTGTTTATCTAGAAAAATAAAGAATTGATCGTTGACAGAATTAGTACCATTCTGCGTTTCAAGGTGATAAGATGCATAGTCCCTTAACTGGTTAATTGTGGAATTTAAATTGACAAATCTCTCGTCTTACGCGCGATAGAATAAAAAAATAAAGTCTGTACTTGCGAAATGCAGGACGAATACACCTAGAGTATATGTCAATGAAAAACCAAAGCGAAATAAAGAAGAATTACGTGTTTATCTAGAAAAATAAAGAATTCGTCATTGAAAGAATTAATATTCAAACTTTAAGATGAGGCGTAGACGCATCGCAGTTAACTGGTTGATCGGTACGATAACGGTTTATCTGTACGTCAATAAAAAAGGAGGAAAGTCTTTCAAGGCACCTTGTGTCGTAGGTCTCGACGAAATTTGTGGGAGCACCAGCACTCCAGCCGCCGATCGCGAACAAGATCTCGTAGGGGATCCGGGGACACGTCAGTGGATTCTTCAGGTCGATCTCGACGCCATTTTGCTCCGATTCTTGCTCGGTTAGGTACGCGTCCGCTTCGGTTAACACTTGCTGGCAGAGCTTGGAAAGAATAGGAAAGAAGGAAACAGGAGATTAACAGTAACCCTACGACAGGGAGTAGTATATTTATCGCAACCTACATAGAGAACTTATTTTACAAAAATATCGAGTGCTGCAGTACGTTCGCGAATGTTAACTAATTTTAGAAGCTACCAAATGTTATCACTTCTTTTAAATATATAACAAACGTTTGAATTTTATAATGTTATATTCCTCAAGTATCCAATTAGAATATTCAGAGAATATGTTATAATATTACAAATTGAATAAAGATATGAATTTGATTGAATTAAGATACACAAATAAGTTCAACACTAAAATTACCGAGCGATTAGAGCAATTACTTCGAATATTTTATAAAAATTAAATAAAACACGTCTCTTGAAACTCAAAGAGTCTCCTAATCTCGTGTCTCTACAAATATACTAATTTAATTAAAAGTCTTTCACAAAAACGCTTTCATAATTCAAGAAACATTGCAAAAGAAACGTTCCGAAGGAAATAAATTCAACTCGTCCGTTGGTTTTAGTGTTGATTATTCAGCTTACGAGGAATAAGTTCGAAAGAAAGAATAAGACGAAGAAGAAAATCAATATCTTCGGATAATGGACGGCTGCGAGCACTCACTCGATCCTCCTCGATGATCTTCCACGTGAGAATATTGTTCGTGAAGAAGGGGTAGCCCATCAGGCCGTAGCGCACGCATTTCAAGAGCCTCGGCAAACAAGCCTGCCTTTCTTCGGCGTTGTGCTCGACCCAGGTTTTAACGGCCTCGAAAACTATTTCCTCGTTTCTGACGTTCAGCTCGTCGTCGCATAGGATCGCCTCGAGTTCCTCGCCGGTGAGCTCTTTGAATTCCGGGCTCTCTTGCAGTATCCGCTTAAAGTGATGACGAATGTATTTCCGGCCCTTCTCTTCCAGGTCACGGCAGAAATAGTGACGGGCGAATTTAAAGATACCTAAGTTGTCACAATTCAGCGGTCTCGCCAATGGCTGACTTTTACACGGAATGTAATTCTGTGCTTTATTTCAGTACTTTCGTGGAAGCAAATCGATTTTAATACATTGCACGCCGGCTAAATTTTGATTACTAGACAACGCGAGCGTCGATGATTATATTAACCCCTTGCCCTGTGATTTAATTCTTAACTCATTACGTACTGATAAAGAGAAATCTCGTTTTTTTACAAAGACACTTAGCTATGCAACTTTGTTATCTACCACAGTATTTAAAAAAATATTAAATTCGATTCGAATTGATTATCTATTTAAAATATATTACATAACAATATGATATGTGGATTTTTGTATGTATAGTCGTATAAGTTGATCTCATTGAAAATTGCCATCGGTATAATTCAGTGAATTAACTATAACTATGATGAATATAAGTACTTCATGTTATATTTAAATATAATATATTTGGTACTTTTATATTTATGATATAAGTAATTTATTAGAAAAAGAAAGAATTTTTATGCTTGTTTTATTCCTGTGTTTAGTCCAAAGATTAACAATTGATAATAGAAGAATAATATTTAATTTACAATTAATGAAAATGAGTAACACTTAGATTTCTCAAATTCAGTTTAAAATTTTTGTCACAAGTCTGATACGTTATTGTAGATCAAGGGGTGAATATATTTTTAAACACCAATCAAACCGAGATTTCTAACTTACGAAAAAGAATAAGGAATTCGATTTTGTAATTTTATTCTCGGTTTGTGTTATACATATCTAAGATGTTACATTAATGTAGGACTAGCGATTAAACGATAGACTACGAAACTAGCATTATCACGGGGCCGGCGCGCAATGTGTTAACACTAAACCTACTGGACGGGTCAACATGATTTCATCGTTTTGTAATTATTAAAAAGATAAAACATGTTTCTCTGAGAAATTATTCAAGAAATTGATTTAGAAATACGCGAACCGAATTTTAAAGTAATTAGAGTCTCGATAGATATACTCTTGAAGTTGCTATAGAGGAATTTCAAAAAGTCAATTTAACTGTACGGTAGTTTTAGTGTTAACTATCTATGAAAAACTGAGAGTGCACGTATAATATAAAACATAATTCTACTATCTACCAGGTTAAATGAAACACAAGATATTTAACACGTTGAATGCCGCACGATTTCATAAAGCAAAATACACAAAACAGAAAAAATATATATAATATTTAATATAATGTATTTTATATATACATTTGTTATATATTATATTTATATAATATTTATTAATGTAATATATTTAACATATGTATTTAACCCTTTGCACTCGGGACTCTCAGTCACCACTTGGTTTGATACGATTAAATAAAGTCTGGTGTTTAATATTGAACTTTGTATAATGCGTCACTATATGAAATCTCGTAGCAAAATACTTTTGTCTCCTAATTTTTGCGAGTAATGTAACTAATTTAATCGATAAATTAGGAGACGAAAGTATTTTGTATTTTTGCGAGTAATGTAACTAACTTAATTGATAAAACATCGTCTATATTTTATCAGAAGTGTTGAATGTTTCTAGCAAAGAACTTTCGAGTACAAAGAGTTAATTTAATATAGTAGTAAATATAAATATTATATATATATATAATATTTATATACTTCTTATTATATATATATAAATTATAATATAGAAGTGTTTTCAAATAATCATCGTTTAATTGACTGAATTATAGTAATTCGATTTGATCACCGTTGACCCCCATGGCATTCAATTTGTTAAAAAAAGAGCAATTAATTTAATCGATCAACGAATCGACACATTACCTAAGCAATTCTCGAGCCTCAGCTCCTGCAGCAGGAACTGGCAGCACAGCTGAACGACCCCTAGGACCTCGAACTGATCGGCCAGCGGTAACAGTTGCTCGACGTTGTCCGCGTTCACGTTACACGCGCCGGTGTAAGCGTAGTCGAGGACGAGGCTGAAGATCTCTCCGGGAATGGAGTCGATGACGACCTCGGTAGTCTCGGTCTTGCCGCCTTTCAGGCTGTTGGTGAAAAGGGCCTTGAAGTACGGGCTGACCGCAGACAAAATGGCACGATGCACTGGGAATACGTGGTCCCTGGCGCATCTGATTGCACCGTCGCATAACTGCTGGTTCGCTCTGAAACAGACGCGTCTGTGAGATGTGACGGTGTCGGTGAAATGTCGATGGAACCCTCTGGTCCCCGAGGAATGTACATCTGAAGCATTCCTTAATTGGAATACAAGATTAACGCATGAAACGGTAAAATTGGTTTTAAAAATGACGCCATTTTACAGAGATTTCTGTTCACTCAATGCTTCGATGTTTGAACTGGTTAATCGATGAGAATATTACGATAGCTTGATTAAACTTTCTAAATGTTTCAACATCGCTTATCAAGAACTCAACTATAGACCCTTGCTCAGACCGATATTCCCTCAGACCTTTTGAAAATCACTTGTCCCAAGCTACACTTGGAATTCAATCAATTCATAGTTCACAGAAATGTCATCAAACCCATCTAAACTCTATTCACTCTTTCGAAAGTATTTTTATAATGGTCTACAGTGTCAAACACAGTTCGAAAGCATCAGTTCAGTAGACAGACGGGACGAGCCGCCAGTGAGACTGTGTGATCAATGACGATAGGATTGATTACAGTCTAATTGAAACATCCTATCGCAGATCCGTTCAATTCGGCGTCCGATGAAGTTCGTTTGAAAAGTTACGGACCTGAGCTCGGACCAGACCATGGGGAACTCGACGAGGGCATAATTGGACGGCAAGCACATGCATTTCCTGACTTTGGCCGGCTGCTTCCTGGTGCATTGCTTCAGTTTCGTACCGAAAACGGTGGCGCGCGACATTCGGCTGCGGAATAGCTTCCTGAACTTCATCCTGCCGCGTCCGTCCATCGCCTCGTGGCCGACCAACGCGATCCTCTCGTCGCTGGCCAACCACGCGACCCCCTGCTTCTCGCGTAGCAGCAGCAGCTTCGCTTTGACCTTCGTTACGGGCCGATCGTTCGTTCTCGTAATTCGCTCTGGTTGTCGATGCGGGCCCCGGCACACCGGAGATTCGCGGCCATGACAGAGGAACGCCGATACTTTCAGCTGACGGTACTGCTCGATCATCTTCGGCTCACTTCCGGTTTATAGGAAGCGATCTGTTCTCTGAAGAACGGTTAAATCTTGACGGTTTCCTTTCTATATTATCGTTTTCCGAATTCTGAATGGAAGATGATGGAAGCTTTTTTTAAGGTTTTTCTTTTTCTTTTTAATGTGTGTAATTCATTTGACGAAGTTCTTGTGGATATTTATTTGTGTTTTATGGGAGTACTATTTCGGTGCTTCTCAGTGTGCGATGTTCTTGAATGAATTGCTGAAATGTGTTTGTAGTGCTTTTAATGTGATTGGATGCTTTGTTGGCAATAGTGAAAGTGTAAGGGTGGAAATTGTTAGTTGACGAAGGAATTGTTCCTTAGAATCCATGATTTAGGAATGTTATTCGCACGTGGAGTATTAATATCGAGATTAATTAAGTTATTCAATTACCGTGATGAATATAATACAATTAAAATCTCAATGTATTCAGCATCTGATAATCAATTTTTTTTTTAATTCATAACAAGTGCTCATAGAATACCTAGTTGGCAGTTAATGCTCTAAAAACTGCCATAGCAATGCTTGTTTTAATACAATGACGCTAACATGTACCACCAGTGATACCTAATCTTCAATATTAAAATAATTCAGCATCAATAATTACTTCATCTACTCCATCATTTATCAACATTCACCTACACCAGCAACAAACCTAAAAATCCTAAACAAATCACTCCTTCCTCCAAACATCCCTTACCCAAATCCACAATCTAACATCCACTCACACCAGCAACAAACCTGAAGAACCTAAACAAACCATTCA